GAACACTAAATTCAAATTCTTAGTTATCACATTATTTTTAGTTAAACGCGACTTATGCCTTTAAAACGCGACATGAGGCCTTTATATTTTATTCGAAATTCGGATTTTATTCACTACTTCAACACTCAATACGCGGTTGGTCACTATAAGGTTGGCCACTCAAAACGCAGTTGATTTCTACGGTTAATTGGCCACATAATTCGCGGTTGGATACTGTCCGCATCGTAAAATTCTTCCATTATAAAGTAACATAAGAATTTTCCTGATATTCTGCAATGAAGGTTTATCCGATCGTAACCTCACACGACTCAATGTTTGGAATAACTTAATAACTCCGTGTTACTGCAGTATACGATTTGATTAGCAGGATTACTAACGACCTTCACAAAACCGAGTTACTTTTCTCCGTGTTTCTTTTTGTGGCTTCATGCAGTTCGTGATCACAAGTCAATCTTTTGCATAGCATAACGATTGTTTTTATAGCAGAACAATGTTTTAACGTAACATAACAATCTTAACAATAAAATAACGTAACAATATTTCACTCAACATACAACGCCACTATCTATTGCTTATAACTTAATTTATTACTCCAATATTCCCGTAAGTAACCTAAAGCAAGAATTTCTTACTTACCGTGACTTGATATTTTTTACATAACATAATGCAGAAATTTTTCACCTATGAAAGATTCTGCTACATAACCTAAGTCAAGAGATTTGCATAACATGACTTAACAATAACTTGCACAGCATGACGTTGTCATTATTAGTTAACATAACGTAGCAATTCTTGGCACGTCTCAACAATGAATTTATATAATTATCTCTCTAGCTCATCAATATGCTCTGTATATATACTTATATACAAAAAATTTGTCTTGCAAGACGGGACGAATTACGCAGCGGTAACCATCATGTATATACCTTCCATTATCTAGTGTTTTTACAGTATATTTTTTCTGCTCCTTCGATCCCTGGAGCTGACAGCCATTATCCCTCAAACCGATTTACCTTCATGGGCATCGATAGGATTCCTTCCTATTTTTTTTTTCACTTCTAATTCTCATGACTTTTTTATTCTTCTCTTGGGCCGACGAAAGATTTTCTCCGTTTTTTTTTTTCGTACCGATATTACTGCCCCGCCGGCCCAGGCCTCTTCGGAAATAAAGTAAAAACTCGGGAGATAAAAAATATTGTTAGCAGGAAAAAAAATCTTGGCTCATCCATGAAGAACACAAAAAAAACATACCACGGTGATCATGCACAACCTGGGGGTGCGGGAACTAAACGCATGAAATTACACGCGTGGCATTACACGCATGGCATTACACGCATGGCATTACACGCATGGAATTAAACGTGTAGAATTACACGCATGGAACTACACGCATGGAATGCCTTTTCCTTCGCATTTTGTTTTGTTCGGATGGACGTTATTCCCATTCCTGAAATCTCTAATATTCCAGCAACGCAATTACTGATCTCGCTGCCTGCGATCCTGTGACGAGCTTCACGTTTTTAAACGAAATAAAAAACCGTCGGTGGAAGGACAAAAAAGTTTTCAGTTTGCAGCTCTGCCGCCTCCCTCATTTCATTTAATTCAGTTATTGTATTTTTCTTTTTGGAAGAGATCTTGCTTTTTGTCTAGTGTGTAGACTTTTGTTTTGTCGCTGATAAAACTGAAAATTTTTTTTTAGCGCTGTTGCTGCCGCTCGCGTTAAAAGGACACACATGAAAAAAATGCTTGTGATTTACAGAAGCCACGTATTTTTTAGGCTTCGATGCTCGGCAGAATGGCGTGCGTGCCGTTGCAAGAATTCCTCCGCTGTTTGATTATTATGAAAAAATATGTTTTTAATTTTAATAAAATGTTAGTGTATTGTAATGAAAAAATATGTTTTTAATTTTAACAAAATACAGCGTATTATAATGAAAAAATATGTTTTTAATTTTAATAAAAGGTCAGCCTATATTTTGTGAGCTTTACTCTACATTTTACTGAGTAAATTCACTCTTTGAATTTGTTTCCGTGGATATTAAGCTGCTCACCAATATGTGTATAAATTCCTAAATTTTTGTTGCATTCATGTAGAAGATTTGAACACACGAGATTTAAATTTTACATTACATAAATTTCACCAGAAAGATGCTGCATTTCTGCAGGATGGGATTTCTTGTGAGCAAACAGCGCTCCAGAAAATCTTTCAGTTTTCAGAGCGATGGGTTCTTGCCAAGATCTTTCAGTATGTCGGAGAGATTCTTTCACGTAAATTCTGAATTTAGCCAAGAAATTCTGTGAACTACGAATTCTATTCGAATAAGATTTGTACGCCGGCTTGAAAGGTGGGTATGTTTTATCTTCCAACATGTCTGTTCGTCTTTACTATAGCAGGTTTTCGAAAATTGATGTTCAACGTTTAAACAATTTATGGAAAATTCTTTTAAAATATTGGTGGAAGTCTGCTTCAAGTTCTGAATTACTCTGAATAAAACGCGGCTGTACTGAAAGATTTTACGATTCAATTCATCGTAATGGTGTACAACTTCACCCACGTGACGACAGTGATGAGCGAGCCTGCTTGTTGAATCTAAAAAGAATATTGTCGGCTTGTGCAAATAGTTTTTTAATAAATATAAAATAAATATTTAATAAAATATTAAAAGAAATGAAAAACATCCAAGATAAGTCTTCAATCCTCATAATCGATTACCTATTTAGATGTTACACAGATGTTAATTAATGTGTGTTTTCTTTAGAGCGTTCTGATCGTATTTTTTTACTTCATTCACACAATTATCTCGTTCAATTTATTCATTATTAAAAACACTCAAACCGTGATTTTCAGTTTCAAGATTACTAAAATACTTGCGAGATTTTCTTGAACAAACGCTTATTTTTGTACGTTTTTCTGCGATGAGAAGGAATCTCCACAGAAGCAACAAGAATATCGTCACAATAAGACGTCATTAAATTGAAAGCCCATCATACTGCAGTTGTTTAGATTTAATTTTCTGTATTACATTCATAATTATTGTACTTAATAATATTCAGTTGTTCAAACTCCTTTTCTAAGCTACATGTACTTTTATATCAGTTTACGTCTTTACATTTAATCAATAGCTTTATCGTCATTCAATGAGGATTATTTCAAGAATACTTGTTCTTGAAAGTACGGATACGTCGGATAATTGTTTATTTAAATACGTATTAAGTAATTAAGTAAGTTATTTTAAGTTTAATTGTTTTTAAGTAAGTCGGATAATTGTTTATTGATGCAAGTTCAACTTTCAGTTTAGCATGTATAAAATAACAATTGCTGGAAACAATATCAATTTTCAAATGTTCAGCAAGGCCATCAGTTCGCGAACCTCCGGACCAAGTAAACGAATGCAGCGTTGACGTATCTCGATATTAATGTATCTTGCGGCAGATGTTCAGCGGGCGACGATATCGTCATTCTATATATACTTGTATTTTTTTGCAGTTTTACCGTCGCACGTACTGTCGTGTATATAAATTCCTTTGCATATATAATGCTACATATGGTCTCCTTCATATTTTATTGTCGATGCATCAACTCTAATAATGTAAAAGGGTTCGATATGATAAAAAGTATATCAATATCTGACAGGCTTTAGGAAAAATGCGAGATTTTTTGTAGCCCATTTTGATGTCGGTGAAACGTTCAATTTAGATCTTTTGTTCGTTACTTTTCCGCACAACTGGATAATTTTTTCCGTTGCTGAAATAATTACTTTTTTCCCAAGGCATTAGTTTAGTTTGTTTTACATTTAACGTCGTTTTTCAGGTCAACTTTATTTCCTCGATCCTAATATGGGTTCAAATCTCCAAAGACCTTAACGAGGTCGTTTAATTAATAACGACTAGAGACCTAAAAACAGACAGGAACGGCTCAGCTTCTTAAATGATCATTTAAAGTTTTGCTCGGGTTTACTTATTAAATTTCAATAAACGGACATGATCAATCTAGGATAGGTTTTATTCAAAATCAATCTTTATATCTTTTATAACTGTTTTCTATTGATTACGAATGTTATGCAGCATTTCCGTCAATAACTTACTTTGAAACCAGATTTAATTGCTGTCGGTATTTATTATTTGTTGCCAAATTTTCAACGGTGAAAAGAAATGGTGTTGAGGTTTTGGTTATGGATGAATTGTACTATTCCGAATTAATTCAAGGCCTATTCGCTAGTGCACTGAGCCACACGGAGTGGAGTATTAATTTTTAACAAAAATGTAAATTCTAAAGGACCAGTTTGTATTAACCTGCGAAAAATGACCGACAATTAATTTGAAATACACAAGCAAGTTCATGTTGATTTTTAACTTCATAAGAATCTTTCCTTATAATTGATGGAGTTGTAAATTATTATGCAGTTTTTTTAAAGCTCACCAAATCTAAACATTACGTACGTCGACGACTACTCAAGCCATTGAAAATTGCATCGTGTAGGTTAAATAATTTAACCACTTCTCCGTTGATTCCACGTTTCACGTCATAACCATAATAATGGTGGTCAGTCCAGGACTTTTGACCACATTCCAGGCGCCAGGTTCATTGCATCACTAGAGTGTCCAGCACCGTGAACCTCTCCTTATCAACTTACCACGAAGAGACCACGGATGTCGTTTGGCAACTCGAGTTTTAGGGCTCGCAGTACTCGGAAATCTTACGAAACTCGGGAGACCGCGGGCTCCGAGAACGGCCGGCTGCTGAGACCCTGTATCAGCGGTCGGGTCTGGTTTTGCGTAATGTCCAGAACCGGTCTTGTGGGTACTGCACCATCAGTGGAAGCAGGGACTGACTGCAACAGCTGTGAATACTGCGGACACTTCGTCAGAAGACACTGGTGGGCACTGCAACAGCTGGAGATAATGCAGACACTTCTCCACTGTCTTTTACGTGTAGAGATTAACCTAATGCTAATTACTGGCACCAAGCCACGCAATAAAGATGTAAATAAAATGGGATATGATTTCAAATTAGTGTATTTGAACTAATGAATCAAAACATAAAATAGACATACGTAATACCAATTGTGCGATACCAAACAGTGAGATCTAAAAATGAAGCGCACACATAAAATAGAGAGCACGAAGTACACGCAGAGGGTTTACACACACGAAATAACCCTAAAAACTGAATAATCTGCTGGAAAAACTTTCGAAACATAAATTTACAAGTATAAGTTGCAGTGTAACCTTAGAAACTTAGGAGATCATAAAAATGCTTTCCCTATAGCCTGGGCAAGAAACAATGATGGCTAACATACACACACAAACCATGACATGGATCACAGATGAAATGGTGGATACCGCCATGCACATACAAAATTCAACTTCATAATTGATGTCGTTGCTGGCATATCATGAACCTTGGAAACAACTTCGGCGATCGGAAACAAAATTCTACATTATCATTTAGCGTGCAGTAAGTTTCACTTGCTGACGCACTCTAGAGACTTAAGGCAAAATTGTTTCGAATGTGAGGACACTATAATGGAATGCGGTTTGTACTCTGGTACTCCGAAGAGGTCATTCTTCAATACTTGATTGCACAAAATGCTTTCTCGGCCACACAGACCAACATAATGGCAAACTAGAGGCTTTCTCCATATCTTATTATTTCTTGGGCCATGAGACTAAATTCAAATAAAGTAGCTCGGAACATTAGTATTAATTTAGGCAGTCTAAATAAATAGAAGAGACAGCTTCAGTCTTGCCGGTACGATTTTCTGAAGTCGACGTTAAAAATGAAAACCAGTTTCTATAAGACAAAAGCAAACGGTCGATAAGGAAGAGCTCACTCCAGGAGGATATCACATATTAAGTGTTACATTCATACGGATTTGCATCAAGGGCAAGAAGCACCGAGAAATGATAAATGTTCACTAGAGGCAGCTTTAGTTATCAATTTTCACTAACCGTATACAAGATGCTGATCCTTAGCGATAATGTTATGGAACACTTGAATCCGAAGTAATAAATTCAAGTAACGAAGGAAGCTACATGTGTATTTCCTCAACATTTCCTTAGCAAGGTGACGTTCTTAAAAAGATATCACATTATGGCAATGCTAGCATTCAAGAGAATAGGTACCAGAACTATCAATACACGGGTTTGCTATATATAAAAAATAAGACAATGGAAAATTCGCCAGTGGTTCATGAATAAGAGACAGAATTTCACGAAGAACCTTAAAAACATAAATCAATAAAAGGCACAACAATTTGCAACAATTTATACCAGCAGTTACGTCACTTTAGAACAGAACCAGTAGTTGGTGAACGTGGTCAAATTTCAATTCAACAATTAATTTGCAATACGAAGAAAATCGGAAATCAATACAATTAAAAACAACGATTATCAACAGAATGCAAAATAAGTTTTGGCCATAAATAGCGTAGAGGCTTCAAGCCGGCAGAAGATGCTGTCCTAGGACTACTATGGGTAGTCTGGATTCAACGAGCAGCGCTTCAACATGACGGAAGGATAAGTAAATCACGACTCACGACACTTACCGGATCCGTTAGTGGATATCGACCATTTTTTTTAAAGAATGTTTGCGGTCGGCGGGTTCGAACACACCTACCATTTTTTTTATTCGCCGCCGAAACAAACCTCGGGTATACAGTATTCGTCCGTGAGGAGTAAACCATTACGACAAGCAACCCAGCAAAATCTTTTTGAACTGAGCTTCCTGTTCAACAAGAGGCCTGGCATCCCAAACAAGTCACAAAACGTAAGGTGAGCAAATCAACGGGGCGTTAGAAACTTGAAAATCTCTAACTAAAAACGTCTGAGACTGGGCGGTCTTTAACTTGAATAAGACGCCATCGAAAATGGCGAAATAAATAAGGATTGCCATTGTCATGGTATCACTGCAGTACAATGCATGCTTACAAATTTAGGGTAGGGATGGGGATTTCGTCCAAGTACGCGTCCTGTATAACAGGCATGAGGTTATAACTTACGTAACGTACGTTATTAATACTGCGAAGTTGGTGTACATAATTACAAGACTTACTCGACTACTGAATTATATCATACAATTATGGTACAAGTTATCACAATGCAGCAAAGACTTAAGCTAATAATACAAACGGAAACAACATGTCATTCATTTACTAACGTTCCTTTTACGTGAACATTTATCATCGTCATCCTGTTATCATAACTAACAGGGATCATATTTCTAACTTAGTGGGCACAACGCAAACGTCTTAGTGAGGTAGATAAAAATGACAGCGTCGGTCAACATACTGTCTAATAATTTTATTTTAAATGCGTCAAGCTGGTCGACCTTTAGTTATCCAGTTATCAAACACGTAACGTAACACTGTAAACAAAAATCAAGACTATCGAATAGGATACGCTCGACTGCGCTCAAAGCACGACATCGCACACCACATGCAGCTAGACGCAGATCATCCCGACGAATAAGAATGATAGAATTCCAAAGCATGAAAAGTTCATTGTGCACATCTTGCGGAATTTCAATTATCGTGTTTTAATTATTATCACCAGTGAGAAAAAGTAAAAAATTGTCAACAAGTTCAGATTTTACAGTGAACACGACACGAGCTAATATTAGTGTCACACAACCCACGTAAAAATATAGAGCAAGCAAACCTTACCCAAAATTTAAATTCACAGCTCGCTGCACCACGCATTTAAATAAAACATTAGCGACTTCGAATAGGCAAGCTGCTTGAAGGGAGAGCACAACGACGCTATGCAATCGAGATAAAAAAAATCAAAAGCGCTGTTGATGAGAATTATTAATGCCGACGAGTTCTTGGTGAGGACTAAGAGACACAGTAAACAAAGTCATCATTTCCGGAATATTGGTTATAGGATCTGACCCAGTGCGACAAAACCTTAACACACGACACATCGAAACCAACTGACTATGGCACACGAAATTATCATTTGAACGTCGAGTTATATATTTGCAAATGAGCATTTGATTATGAATCAATAGGGAGATGCATAAAAAACTTGGCTACCTTCTTGGTACCATGGCTCTTTGAATTATTATTAACAAGTAAATTAGTGTTGAACGAAATTTTATTTTATCAGCATAATAGGTGAGCTTAGAGCAGTCAACCGCGAAGGCATTATCATCCGAATGAATTCCTTGAAGCTCAGTTTCGTTGCTAGTAATACGAGACTCGTACTTAGAATAAGCATTGATTTATGTCTATAAAGTGCAGCATGCGTGCTTGTCAAAGTGACAAATCCTTTCAAGACTGAACACTCAAAGGATATCTTTAACTTATAGTTGATAAATACAGCTTAAATTTATATCCGATAGTTCAAGCAAGATGAAATACGAAATGTATGGAAATGGGGCAAACGCAAAATGCTTGATGAAGTGGTAGAGGCCAATTGAGTGGAGGAAAGTCCGAGCTTGCCTTGGATTATTATCGAAAGCGTTGTTCTCAGGCTTTCCAGCCATCAATTTTGAGATCCTCCAATAGCTGAGTAGAAACGACGTTCGGACTCAAGGTACAAACAACGAAGAGAGCAAAGATCTCATGGAAGTTAATTCATGTTTGATTTACAGACTTCGTTTTAAACGAAACCAGAAAACTATGAGTGACTGTCCACTATTGCCTTGAAGATTGACCTAGAAATGATAAAACATAATTGAGCCTGAGGTAAGCTAAGAATCGAATTTCAACCGTTCAGTACATAACTTCGTAAACGGTGGCCTTTTTATCTCCAGATCCAGTTACGATGTACTTGTCATCTGCAGAAATGTCACAGCTCAGGACGGACGAAGACTCTTTCGACTGTAAGGAGAGAAACGCAACCAGTCGTTAATACAATAGAGTTACAAAAAAAAATCCAATTATATCGAGTCGGAGGCGTAAGTCGATCAAATGACAAGAATTAACAGTGCGTACCTGGAATATGGAAGCACCGAACGGTGTTCTCCATGCGTTCAGCAGATTATCCTTGCCCGTTGAGACGAACCATTTGCCGGCAGAGGCGAACTTCAGCGACAAGACGCAACTTTCGTGGAGATGAAGCTGGTACTTGTCAGCTTTTGAGACGTGAAGAACTTCAACGTTCGAACTCTCCATACCGACAGCCAACCATTCGCCAGTAGGACAGAATCCCAACGAGAATATTTGGCTGCTGAAGTCGTGTTGTTGAAGTTGTCTACCCTCTCTGAGGTCCCAAGATCTGACTGTGTTATCGAGGCCTCCCGTCCAAAGTTTAGTCCCGTCAGGGGAAATATCAATACAAGAGGCGCCGTCTGTATGGCCCTGGAATTGTCGTACCAGAGTTTGGTTGTGCAGGTCCCAAACGGCGATGTTTACTCACGAGACAATCGAGTTGAGACACGGGACTCTTGGAGCCTGGTTGGCTGATGTCCCAGACTTTGACACAACCCTTGCCGCCGGTGTAGACGTACTTGGTGGGGTTGCTAATGGTGACTGCACAGACAACCTCACCATGGTGGAGGGTGTTGATCTGACGGGCGTGGCGGGGGATACCGGCACCCAAGAGGGCGTCGTGGGGGAAGTGAACAGGACCCAATTGTCCGTCCCCATTAACGTGATAACTGTACGCACTGGGATAATACGAACGGAGGATAAACAGTTGGAAGTTGTTTCACTCCTCTGCACTCAAATAGCTATTCATCTTCGACAGGATTGCATATAATACCTTCAAAGCTTTTAGGAGTTTTGCGGTGAAAAGGTACTAATACAGCTCTATCAATAAATAGGTCAGTTCATTCAATCACTCGTACGCCTATACTTTCTTCAAAGAACATAGATACAAGTTGCAAGAAAACATGATCCGGGATACTCACGGCTTGCCAGCAGCACCGTTGATGGGCGCCCCGTTCTGCCCCCTACTGCCCGGGTGGATTTCGTATCCAGCAGCCTGGAGCGATGCAAAAATGCCAACATTATAATCAACAATCAATAGCATTTCTGTCATTAACACATTATTGAAGTATGTTTAGTTTGACGTTACTCAGGTTATAACATTCCATGGAAATACGTGTTTCAAACAAAAAATTATGCGACGACAAAACTTGAGGAATTTGATACAATTTGATAATATTCTAGTAGTTATGAAAATAAAAGTAAAGAGATGTTGCACCAACAATCACTCAAACGTTTAGGAATAGTTAAAATATAAATATTCCGAAAAATAATTGAATTAAGAGATCAAGCCCTGGCACACGTCAATGTTAAACCGTACATTATATGTTAGAAGAAATAAACAGTCGTTGAAAGTTTTCTAGAAAACAGTCTCATTAGTGATGGTACAAAAGTAGAGTTGAAATTGGATCAAACACAGATAGACGTCACACATTAGTTTTAATTACCACTGGTGCTGCCGTACGAATAGCATTGACTAGATGAGTTTGGTCCCTAACTGAGGTGAGTAAAGATGAGTGTAAATAGTTGCTACTGATACCAGGATCCCGCATGAAGTGTCAAGTCACAAGTTCGAAAATTCAGTAAATGTGGTGCATAGAAAACGCGAGGGATGCAACGATCAATAAACAACAGAATGAGAAACAGAGTATCAGTGTATTGGTGAAAATGTACAAAGCATCATTTTGAAAAGAAACAAAGAGATATATTACGAGATTAAGAAAACGAAACGATGCAAATAATACAGAAAAAGTACATCAAAATAATAAGAGAATAAAATCTGGCAATTTCACGTCACAAACATTTACTCCCTAAGAAAGTAGTCTCGTTCTGAAGGAACGAAGAAAACGTGAAATTAGTCAATTTTTTAGCCTATATACAAAGTTGAAATTTTGACAAATTTTCGCATTTCCAAAAGTGCACGTAGAGAGCGAGAGGAACTGCACCAAGTCCTATATTAGTTGTTCTTCACTAAATGAACGGACGCAATGGGGAACAGCAGCTGGTATCATTTCGATGGCAAAAACTGCAACAGGTTTAGGGTGCCTCATACGCGGAATGTCGTCAGACGGTACAGCCAGAAATGGGTTCTGAACAGAGGGTCCTGATACACAGCAAATCAGTTCACGTTGTACCGAGGTTTAAGCCTAACGCTTTGCTACGCGTTGACGTGACCGCGACACGTAGTTATCTTAGGAGGTCGCGGCGCGTCAATCGATCTCTTCTTGTGTCAACCTCCTAGTGAAATACATGTGCGTGTCCCTGATCGTGTTTCACTGACTCTAAGACTGATACATGGTGCCCCGGTTGGACGAATACTCTGTGTTGTGTGTGCTACTGGTTAGTCTCGTTAATGGCTCAATATAGAGCACCGGCACCTCTCAATTTTGTGGAACCCCGATGGGATGCGTGGAAAAGGAATGTACCGAGGTTTAAGCCTAACGCTTTGCTACGCGTTGACGTGACCGCGACACGTAGTTATCTTAGGAGGTCGCGGCGCGTCAATCGGTCTCTTCTTGTGTCAACCTCCTAGTGAAATACATGTGCGTGTCCCTGATCGTGTTTCACTGACTCTAAGACTGATACACACGTGGATTCACCACAACCCAACAAAATATTAAAGCCATCCAAGCTAGGAGTCCCCAAGGTGGGAGTTACTATATATAGAGGCGGTTCTAAATTCAGGCATGTAATACGGTCCAAAGATATTACATATTTACTAAACTGTTGGTTTATTTATGCATGCGTGTTTGTAGCTTGGCGCGGTGAATAGATATACATATTGGGGCGCGGATCTACATTACCTATATAGAGTTTCGGAAAAATACTCAAATATGAAATTTTATTATTTTTGGTGACGGAGTCATGTAGCGTTGCAGTGAGAAGAGGGGTATGAATTAAAATCTAAATTTAGTTTTGTGGATTTAATCCCAATAAAAAATGTATACTTAGCCTCCCTCAAGCTTCTGCGCGGGAGTGAAATAGGAATTTGACGTTAGAAGTTCATTTGAACGGGGCTTTCTCTTATTAAGCTCACTTTATTGAATTTTTTCTTCAACTAGATTCTTGATTAGAACGGAATTCTAAAAAATGGATATATAAGTTGCTCTTCAGTTCAGCAAAGATACATTTCATAAGAAATGTTAATAAATGGAAGTCACGCTGACGTTCCCTGTTGAACCTGCGCTATAGACTGGGTCTTCCTTTAGTTAACATTTATTTACTGGGAGAATCATTAACGAGATTTAGGACAACGCGATTTTTCAACTCTCTATGTTTATCTATCCGGAACAACGCCAGGTTTAGCTGCGGGTATCTAATAACCTAATATAAACTCTCAACAGTCATAATTACAACATTTCAACAAGTATTCATGCAAATAGAATTAATGAAGACGGACATTAGAACGAAGGGCAATGCTCAAACATGCGGAGAGAGATAAGCGTGAAACAAAAATTTAAAAGCAGGATATAAACCAAAAAATTTAGAATAAAAATTCTAGATTTGAAAGAAAAATATGAAGCATAAATTTACATGAGTAGTATAAATTAATGGATGATAATTAAATGAATAGTACAAATTAATGGATGATATTTAAATGAATAGTACAAATTACTGGAGGATATTTACAGGTGGGGCAGGTGGCCGGACGTGGTAATTGGGAGGACCAGGAGGATAAGGGCCCCCAGCCCCAGGAGGAAGATCAGGTCGGACAAGAGCATGGGGAGGAGGAGGAGGGAGACCTGGGGCAGCACCCACTCCCACAGGGGGAAGGTAGGGGGCACCGGGGAACTGAGGGTGAGGGAGCCCTGCCCCACCGGGGACGGGGGGTTTGGGAACGCCGTTGCTTGTTGCTCCCCCACTCAAGGGACCGTTGGGGGTGCTTAGACTCCCCCCACTTGTGGTGGGGGCCGTTGGGGCTTTGCAAGTGGGGGTGGGCACACGGGGGTCACTCTGGCCAATCAGGGGATACCAACAAATTACCCAACAATCTCCAGTTATTACCGTAACAATCATTGCCTTCTGGTTCATGATTATCGTCCCAATCATTGCCGTTTGGTTCATGATTATAGTCCCAGTCATTGCCTTCTGATTCTTAATTATCGTCCCAATCATTGCCTTTTGGTTCATGATTATCGTCCCAATCATTGCCTTCTGATTCTTAATTATCGTCCCAATCATTGCCTTCTGGTTCATGATTATCGTCCCAGTCATTGCCTTCTGATTCTTAATTATCGTCCCAATCATTGCCTTCTGGTTCATGATTATCGTCCCAGTCATTGTCTTCTGATTCTTAATTATCGTCCCAATCATTGCCTTCTGGTTCATGATTATCGTCCCAGTCATTGCCTTCTGATTCTTAATTATCGTCCCAATCATTGCCTTCTGGTTCATGATTATCGTCCCAGTCATTGTCTTCTGATTCTTAATTATCGTCCCAATCATTGCCTTCTGGTTCATGATTATCGTCCCAGTCATTGCCTTCTGATTCTTAATTATCGTCCCAATCATTGCCTTCTGGTTCATGATTATCGTCCCAGTCATTGTCTTCTGATTCTTAATTATCGTCCCAATCATTGCCTTCTGGTTCATGATTATCGTCCCAGTCATTGCCTTCTGATTCTTAATTATCGTCCCAATCATTGCCTTCTGGTTCATGATTATCGTCCCAGTCATTGTCTTCTGATTCTTAATTATCGTCCCAATCATTGCCTTCTGGTTCATGATTATCGTCCCAGTCATTGCCTTCTGATTCTTAATTATCGTCCCAATCATTGCCTTCTGGTTCATGATTATCGTCCCAGTCATTGTCTTCTGATTCTTAATTATCGTCCCAATCATTGCCTTCTGGTTCATGATTATCGTCCCAGTCATTGCCTTCTGATTCTTAATTATCGTCCCAATCATTGCCTTCTGGTTCATGATTATCGTCCCAGTCATTGTCTTCTGATTCTTAATTATNCATACCTCCTTGGAGTGTTTGAGCGAGGGAGTGGACAAAATGGACAGCAAGGCAGGATGAAGGACATACCTCCTTGGAGTGTTTGAGCGAGGGAGTGGACCTGGAGGACGAGGAGGACTGGGAGGCGGGACGGTCAGGCTTCTTGTCGCCGCCGTTCATCTCACCGCCGCTGCCCGCTCGGTGGTCCCCGTTTGTGTGGGGACTGCCCACATCCTGAGCAGCACGTAAGTATTGCCATTTAATATAAAATATCAGTAATCTTTTCATTATCGCATATTAAGATAACTGCTATGGCTCATATGCCAACTAGTAACCGATCTGTCCGGACTCGAGAAATTAAATGAATTATATTCTCTTAAAATAAACGTGCTCCAGCAAACACCAACGCAAGTCTAATACGATCATAATTTTTAATTAAATCAGCGTGCTCAAGTGGACGTATTAAATAGAACATTCACTTCACGTTGTACTTTAACAAGTTAGAATTGTTCACTTATTTGAATTGAATCGTCGTGCTGTAGTGCACATCCCAATCAACACAAATGCAGGTCAATTTGTCTTGTATAATTCAGTTGCTCATAAACTTCAATTAAATCAACATGTTCTAGTGGACATATTAACACAAATGCACATCAAATTGTACTTTAAAGTTAGAATTATTCGCAGATTTGAATTAAATCAGCGTGCTCTAGCGGGCGTACTAACACAAATGCACGTCAAGTTGTCTTTTAAAAATTCTGTTGTTCATGAATTTTTATTAAATCAACATGCTCTATTGGACATATTAAGACAAATGCACGTCAAGTTGTACTTATTTAACTAAAATCATCAAGATTAATTATCAGTAACGAGACGCACCTCATTGACATCGACTACGAGGTCCTGGTCACTCTTCTCTCCGTCGCTATCATTGCCCGCGTTGGAGCTCGGGGGCCGTGGTGGTGGTGGGGCTTGGTGACTAACGTTGTTGTGGTGGTGATGGTGGTGCTGGTGGTGGTGATTAGACAACGCTGCTCCAGATGATGATGAACTTGAAGCTTTCAATGATGTCGGAGTGCCTTGGAGTTGGAAAATATTCCAAAATATAATAGACATCATGCATCCATAGAATTATACATATTTTACTTTTGAAACTATGCACCCGTTTCGTAAAACCAAATTTTGTTAAGTCGCGAGTCAAGTACTAAAGAGTCAGCGACCAAAGCAGAAGGCTGAATTTCTTCAGGCTGCAAGGCTAGAAGTTTTAAGAGAAGCGTTTACGCTCGCGCAGTTCGGCGTCCGCAGCGACAATTTGGTCCTGAAAAACTTCCTAAACTTTCGGGCCAAGAAAAGCAACCGAATGCGTCGTCAACGCGCGAATTGCAGGAAACTACGAAGTTAGGATCGTACTTAAGAATTAACTCACATTGTACTGCATTTAAAAACGAATAAAAAATACAACAACGTATTCAAAATTCTTAACGAACAAGATTCAAACGACAGATTACCGAGGTTAATTATGTGTAATGTAACACACCCTACCTTCCCCATGAGCATGAGATCTAACTGGGGTATTAAATATTTTCTACCAAATAATCTCTTTTTTATCATATAATCTCTTACTTTACCGTATAATCTCTAGCTCAACCACATAATTTCTTACACTACAATATAATCTCTCACTCTACCATAACATCGATTTGTATACAAGAACGGCGAGACATGTATCACCAATAAAGAACCATGCCGCGTAAAACAGTACATTTTGCAACGATTAATTCCCTTCTTTTTGTCTATAGGTAAAGTAACTTTTAGGCGCGACTTACCATAGCCTAGTAAATTATTCGATCCGCGATTACACTATAATCACTTCGTAAATTATAACTATAATCGGCACTAGAAAGATAGATCAGATAATAACCAACTATCGAAATTAAATTCTGAATTGCAGCTGGTACAATTGTTCGTAGGTAATAATCCCAATGTATGTAATAATATAACTCACCGGCAGAGGAGCTGGGGTTCGAGTCGCCACCATCTTTCCGTCTTTTGGTTTCAAGGGGCGCGTCGTCAGGCGTGCCAGATCTGGGTCTGTACTTGGACTCGGCTGGGGAACTCGCATTGCCTCTCTGTAATAACCAAACAAAACCTTATTCGTTAGTGTCCGGTATGAAATAAAACTATAATCAACTATTTGACCTCTCATTTAATAATATTAATTCTAGACACCAGACTCTTACATCCCCCTAACATAACCGACAGTTAGTGCATTCGTAGGAAACGAGTGAACGAAAAAGATTACTTCAGTGAAGAAGTCAAGGCAACAAATCATCATGGACTTGCAAAACATCACGATCTTTGAACAACGCCTTTCTGACAAGAAAATTCTCTGATCTTAAGTAGGTTCGAAGAATAACAATGAACAAAAATATCGACAACCGACAGGAGAATTCGCAGCGCCAGCATGTCGTCAGGTGAGATGCCATATCGTTACAGCGAAAGCATTAATTGAAACCTATCAATACAAGGATCCTTATCTAGCACATTTCCTGCCGCCGAACACATAATTTTGTTGCATAGTATAGCATCGATTCCGTTGAAGATAATGATCATACCGATGCGGTTGATGTTATGCTGCTAAGTAATTGCCATCGTTAAAGTAGATGACAGCGTATTTATGTGCTGCTGAAATGGTGCGCGTTGATAGCACTATATAGGAAATATAATACAAGTTGACGGAATCACAGGCGGTGTTTAAACAAGTCAGCAACAGCAGTGCGATGCCAGCAAATCTGTACGCAATAAATCAAACTCCGAATTCCCATTCTATAGAAAGTAAACACGTGAGCCGACGGGTGGGGGCAGCGGCAATTATAGTGCAGTCATCACAGATGATCGAGAAGCGCACGGCCAAGGTTTATTCTTGAGCAGTGCGCGGTGATGAAGCAATCGTTTGCCCTCGGATCTCCCCTCGCCGTTACACGCTGCACGTGGCGAGGGGAGAGCAAGGGATCTGGGATGAAGGGTGACGCTCAAATAGCAATACCATGGCAGGAAAAAAGGCAACCCCATGAATGAGATGAAGTGTTGGTAACATGAAATAAAATGGGAGATAAAGGCAGAGAAAAAGAATAACAACTTTAAGAATAAAAACCCAAAACATGATTAAGATGTAAAATAAAAAGAACATATAAACCCACGAGAGAAATATTTTTAGTACTATAGAGGGAAGCAAGCAGTAACTTGCGATTGGAAGCGATAGAAATGGAAATTAAAAGGGGGAAATTAATAGAGGAGCGTGAGAGAGATAATAGAAAGCAGAGGGGACGGCCGCTGAGGGCGAGGGTAGACATCCTAGGGCAAGACCCTCGGCAAGAGGGGGAACCGAGCTGTGAAATTAACGAGCAATGACGACGAGCAGGGAATTAAAAAAATACCGTGGATAAAAAATGGTCGAGGTATTTGAAACACATGCACCCGACCATCGACAGCCTGGGGATTGAACGAGGAGTCGAGGGTAAACAGAAAAGCAGGGGAGTAAGATGTTGGTTTTTGGTTTAGCAGAGCAAACAGAAGATCAAGCGTAGCATGAAGTGATATGAATGGGGAGGCAGGGGCAGCTAATAGACGAGCTATTGCATGCCACAGACACTGACGGTCACGATATTATATATGTAAGGGCAGCGTTTATTATTTTAAGGTCTCTACTAAAATTAATGCCAAGAATTCCTTGTAGCATTTTTGTGGAATAACTACAGAAATGAATGCAGAAATTACAAATTGACCAAGTTCGATATTTCTTTCTTTGGTCATAAATTTTTTTTAAGCTTACAGCATTTCACAGTTCATAAGCAAACACCAGGAATCGACACGTGAGAAACTCGTAGTAATACGATTAGATTAAATTCTACAGATTCCGTTCAACCGTGATGAACCGCACTTCCGGCTCCTCGGTGCTTTTGTGGAACAAAGATTGCAAATTTTGGCTACACAGAAATTTGTGAATATACACACGACACAGCGTGCGTGTAAGATCAAAACCTTAGTTACCAGTGTTTCACACCATGTCACATTGCGTCGCCAGAAATCTTGTAATCATACCTGGTTGGTGGCTGGCGCTGAAGTTTGAAATTCTGAAGGAAACTGACAAGCAGACGATGGATAATTAGTGCCTGCATGAACCCTCAGATTTAATGTTTCTGATACATCTCGCGGAAGATATGTACACAATGAAATAGCCTACAGTGATTAAATTTCAGCATTATACAGGGAATCAACTCGATACAACAAATAATTTCTGAGTAAAATACAATAATAAACAGCACCTTCGCAAAGAGCAAGCCTTTACTTGATAAACAAAGACGTTTATTTAATCGAAGTGAATTGCATTAACCCAATGATATTCAGCGTTCTGTGGATATATCTCTAATGAAATTAGAAATCACATTCTACATATATGTCTTACGCAAAATTGACACCAATTTCATTTCTATACTCGCTGTAAAGGGGTAGCTTATTTCCCAACCCTCTTTATGGAGAATCTATATACATTTCGTCTTGAATTAGTCAATTCGATTGCATGGAGCTAAACAGGAAGTATCGAGTGACACGCACGAGCGCTAGTGGTTTGTGCAGTCAATTTTCAGTTGTTGCTGGTATAAACTTTCTCGTACGTTATGTAAAGAGAGCTCGTCAACGCTCATCCAACACACAAAAATAAACTCTTTTGTTGGTGATGCAGAGAGGAAACAATCCCAAGTACGCATCTCGTATGTTTGCCCACAAGGACGTTGAACACTAGCACAACACGTCCGTAATGTACACTAAACGAACTCAATGCCCCAACAATGTGTAGTTCTTCGAACAGTGCGCCGCTCATGGACACAGTTCTGTCACACACAACCATGTAGGACGATAAAAAGCCAATGGAATATAAATAAGACTTGCTAGGGGAGATCTTCCTTTCGGCTACCGAAGGGGAACAGAATAAAAGCCTGAACAGCGGAGGGGAGAACAAGCCGTGCTCGCTACGAGGAAATAAAAGCGACACTGCAGAGCAATTCATCAGCGGATGACAAGCAAGTCTTATTCTCGAGCGCACTGCGAGAGTTCCATGAAAAGCGTCGCGTTAAATTACTCGACTTTTTGCGACCGATATGAACTTCATCTGAGGTTTGCTTCCACTTAATTGATTGGCAGGAAAACTTGGTGAAAATTCTCACCACTTGTCGAGGGAAGAAAGGAGTTTGAACATATCAAGCGCAGAAACACACGATGAGTGTAGAAGTAACATAGGATTAAGTGCAGACTACTGTATTGACATCAATGACATGAATGCAATAGTTAGTGGCAGGATTAGCCAAACAAATATGAATGCACATTAAAAAAGATAAAACGCTTGGAGGTAACGGGAACGTGGTTACAGGCAATTAAAAAAAGGATTGGAAAGAAAGTGGATGAAGGGAAAAGATGAAGGAATGAAAAGGGATATAGATGAAATAAATGGAAATTAGATAGAAATAAAAAAAAACTTTATGAGGGTAGAAGAGAAGTACGAAAAAGGGTAAAAATTCGATGTCTGGTAAGAATTTGATGTGGAAGAGAGGGCAAGATGGGGAAGATTGGAGAGGGGAACGTGAAGGGCCCTCGAGGGGCTACTCGTTGCACCATTACGGTGCTTCCCTCACCTCTCGGCAGCGAGGTCCCCTCTCGAGACCCCGACCCTCTTATGCCGCCGAGGCGATTAATTACAAGCCACAGAAACTTGGCGCCACAAGCGCCCACCAGCACAAGCCTGACACATGGCGGCGTGCGGGAACTGCTAGGCTTAAATCAAGCAGGGATTTTTTATTTATTCATACATTTAGGGATTTGCAACCGAAGTAAAAATCGTGATTATCGTCACCGAGACTTCGTTCCCAGAACTAATCAACAACACAGCAAAAACCATTACATGTAACTGGAATTTCAAGCAGGGTTTTAGCAGTTTAGCTTTTATTCATGCGTTCATGTACCTGCGACCGAATAAAAAAACGTAATTATCATCACCACGACTTCGTTCCCAAAACCAATACACAACGGACAGAAAACACCATTACATGTAACTGAAATCTCAAGCAGGGCTTTTTACATTTATTCATGCATTTAGGTACTTGCAACAGAATTAAAACCGTGATTGCCATCACCAAGACTTCGTTCCCAGAACTAATCAACAACGGACAAGAACACCATTATAGTAACTGAAATCCACAACCTTAGAGTTGTGGATTTCAGAGATTCAGATTAACGCGCTCCTCCTTAGAGGAGCGCGTTAGTCGTAATTCCTTTAATTGAAGATATCCTGCCCACGGTCAGAGCTGGTCACCCTGCCTCACCTTAATCCCACACATCTTTTTTTCTGCATTATACCACACCTCATAATTTGTTTCACGTCAGTTTACCCCTTCTCTATATTTGATCAATACCGTCATTTTATCCGTTCATTTTATGTTAAATCATCTTGCATAACACGCGTAATACCATGACACCCTCTGCTGTTGTTATGTCCCTCTTACCCTGTCATCGTGGAGGGATGAGGGGTCGGGGTGTCTGAGGGCCTTATCGTCGTGGGGATGTGGGGGAAGACTGCGCTGGTGGGGATGCAGATCACCGGGAGGCTTTCCTCCCCCCGCCAGCAGTGACAGCGGGTGAGCCCCCAGCCCCATAAGGGATGCTTGCGAGGCTAAGTGGGGGAGATGATGTCACGGTCAACTCAGAGTGTAAAGTATAGCAGTCCAGTACAAGGCTTGTACTACATAAGTCTCTATTACAAACGAAAAACTTTTATACTAAGTGTCGCGCTACAAAAGTCTCCATTGCAACCAACAAATTGGTAATGTCAAGTGGACAAGCAGTTTCAAATAATTGCTTCAAATAAATAATTGAAATATGTAGGGATCAAGTATTTTTAAACATATATATAGGAATGAGAGATGTACAGGCAAACAAATGCACGTTGAAATTTTTTTGGGCTACTTCATTTTGAGTTAACCACACCTAAAAAACACAAGTCAACAACGAAATATCAACAAAATCTCTACTTTGATAGTGACAGCAACATGAGTATTGCAATAGTTTTATTCATTATTAATAAGTGATAAAAAATGAGTATTACAATTAATATTGTAATACTCATATAAATTATAAATGATTATTATAATAAATATAATTATAAATGAGTATTATAATTATTATAAAAATAAATGAGTATTACAACTAATATAACAATAAATGATTGTTATAATAAATATAAAAATAAATGAGTGTTTTAATAAATATAAAATAAATGAGTATTATAATATATATAAAAATAAATGAGTATTACAATTAATATAAAAATAAATGAGTATTATTATCAATGAGTGATTACAGTAGCAGACGTACCTGCGAGGAGGCCCGGTGGGGGGACGGACGAGGGGGGCAGGCCAGGCAAGCCTCCCGGCAATCCAGCGTGAGGGGGCAGGCCGGGTATGGGGGGCACGTGGCCCCCGTGAGGGATGCCCGCTTGTGCGTGCAGCTGTGTCAGCCAAATCTTCATATTTACTAAAGCCAATACTAATAAAAACAACAATATCTTCGTATCTATATTTTAAAAATAAATAAAACAAAAGAGTCTGAATCAAAACCACGACTGTAGTTTATTCTAGTTAGTTATTGATTTGTAAACACATACGAGTATAATGTACATAACTAATACCCATATTACAACGTTATATTTTTTTTCAGCACGAGTAACACCGAGCTGTAGTACCACCAAGACTTACCCCAATGATTTGGTTGAGCTCAGCCATGGTAACCTGCTTTGCTCTGTCCACCGCAGTGGCCACCTGCTGCTGGTGCTGCAAGACACAGGTTAACTCAGCATCAGTAACACGCTATTAGTAATGCGCTACTCATCAGTAATGTAATGCAACACGCTACTATGTAATGTATAATATAATTTAACACGCTACTCGCTAGTAAAACGCTACTCATCAGTAATGTAATGTTACTAATGTAACATCAGTAATGCGCTACTCAAGATTAAAAAAATCTTAGCCATCAGTATCACGCTATCTAAAATTAAAAAGTAAACTTATGTATCAGCAAAACGCTACACGTGTGTTCCTATAATCTGCATCTCATTGTTCTGCTTAGCAGCGGCATAGTTCGCGTTCTATGCTTGCGTCATTATATTATTAATGACTTCCAAAACTCGCATTTTGAACGAAGCTGCAGGAAGAAAACACAATATCAATATTGATAAAATAAAACAACTGTACTGGCTGGTATGGTTCAGTCTACACACACCGAAGAATAAACAAGTCTCTGGACAGATTATATGTAAAGTTTGTAATTACAAAGAACAAATTACGCAGGATTGGCGCACATCAGAACTGTCAGGAATTCTGACTAAAGAACCTAACAGGGACACAAAAGACGGTCGAAGTTTAAAAGCACTCCTATATTATACCAAATCTGAAGCCATAATGTTAAAGTAAATGAAGACGGTCGACTTCAATTTGAGTAGAAAATAAAGGAATTATGTTGCAGCATTACTATTCATGGATGTCATATGAAATCCAGTAGTTATATTTCACTAACACGAATCCGTCTTGTCAGGTTCTCGTGAGATCTACATACATACATTTCGAGTGAATCTTTGTTCTAATAGAGAGAAACCAAACTAGGTTCTTATAGCAAGTGTTCTAGAAGCGGTTTATAGAATGCTATACTGCACACTTGCCAGGACATTATCAGCACGCAGGTGTGGCATACAGAACTAGATAGCATGTTGGACACGTGTAGCCTGGTAGCGCGGCTTAACCCTCTACCGCTGTATGTCACTCTCCGGGAACATAATTTGCAAATTAAATTATACGTAAACTATTGAGTGTAGCAACCTGAGGACGTTTGTACTTTAAAGTTGTCGTACGTGGCGGCAAATTATACGTAAACTATTGAGTGTAGCAACCTGAGGACGTTTGTACGCAATAGAGAACATTTTAAAGTTGTACGTGGCGGCAACCATCAGTGCAAGTCACTTTGTGCTCACTAAAACGTATCCTTTTCGTGAAGTAGGCTTGTGACAATATAGCTCCGGTCACTCATGTCAGGCGATAGTGGGTTAAAATCTTAAAACTACTCCCAGTAAATGATATTTGGGCTTGGCTAAATAAAAATTACGCTTGGCAAGGTAAACAAAGTTATTCAAAAAAATTGAAATTATTCGACACTGAAGGCAAGTAAAGAACATCTCGATGACAGCCGGCGGCAAAGCGCACCCAATTCGACGCTAACCACCGCATGTCGGCATTGAAGTTCCGATGTTATTTTCAAACTAGCCATGCATGCATATTGTATAATTTCAGGCATTTAAAAATTCAGAGATGCTGCGAAAATTAGTACGGTACATTGTGATGAGAACTTACTTCTTGTGACAGGAAGGGAAGCACCTGTCCTATGATGGATCCTAACCGCTTTGCGATCTCCGTCTGTCCAGAAATATGATACAATGTTAAATATTAGAAATGTTAAGTATTATCAATATTGAATATTATAAATGGTAAACATAATAAATAAAGTATTAAATGGTTGAAATTTAAGAACGAAGATAAACTAATCAATTTCAAATCAAAATTAATATTAAAAATTAATACTTTCATAAGACATTGGTATATTATAAGTGTTGGTATATTATAAATAATTCAGCATACTCACTTGCTTGTGCATTTCTACGTTGAGGCCGTATGACATCTCGTAGTACTGCAAGAAAACAAATAACTTCATTAGCTCTGCAACTTTCTACGTCGTATACGACATTACAACTTTTGATAGTTGATATGGACACAAGCTCAGAACAATTAGACCATATCATATTATAACTTATTAAGGAATTTATAATTGAAAAAGTGAAGCCATCGTTTCCCCAAACAACTGGATTTTATAGCCTGACAGTTCACTAGGGAATTGAGGATTAGAATAATTGAGCAATTATATTAGAATTATTACAAATAATAATGGCAATGCATTTCATGGGAATATCTCACAAAAAAATTAGCTATTCTCATGCACAACTGCTTCAGGCCCCAGAAAGCATTGATTATTTTTTATTCTTATCTAGAATTATATTTTATCTTTTTATTCTTTTTATCTAGAATTGCTTTGCTTATCCTAGGCTACTGAGGCTGGTTTGCTGAATGAGTTGCTGACAGTGCCATCGATTGAGCAGGTTCAGGCCAGAGGAAAAGTCTGTATAAAGTAGAATTTAATAATTGAACAAATGGAGCGCATGTACACGCACTCATCGATTGGATCGAGGTGCTGGCTGCTTGGCTCAAAGCTAAGCGAGTGAATGACTTCACTCCTATACTGCGCTCTATGAGATTAAACGAAACGCGAGTTAGAAATGAATCGATAAATATTTCCAGCATGAAATTGGTGAATACTCCACGCATGAACGTGACAGCGACCAAACCGAAAAGCATTTATTACATCTTGCCGGGTATGAACAAGGCGAGAATTATTTCTGGCAATGATGGTACTGCATCAATGTGCTACATGTTGACTCCGTTCATATAAATAGTGAGCCAGAAATATAATGCAGTTAATAAACAAATTACCGAGAACCATCACAAGTGTTTCACGAGTTTCCATGAAATGTTCTCTAATCAGAGAATGAGTTTAATCGAATGATACATTGGTATACATCAGTGTAGTGACTGTATAGTCTAACAATGAGCAGCATTAGTAACAGTTGCATGCGACAGGATAAATGAACGACTATTTGAACAGCTAAATAAATGTCGATCAAGAGCCCGTGAACTAGTGTACAATTTTAGTGCGCTTCAGTCAGGAAATTGTGTTGAAAAAATGACCACACCTCCCATTCTCAAGCAGGTAAACGGAGGCAGGAAAGCTCAGGACATAAAAGGGAGGAAAAAACGGCTCTATAAGAGCTTCCGTTTGGCAAAGCAAACAAAACCGGGCTCATTTTTGAACTGCCGCAGATCCCCTCGCCATAAAGGCATCACAAACCACTCAGTAAACAACAAGACAATGACTACCGACTGTCCAGCAGTCAATAGATCGCTCAATGCCAGGGTCTAAATCAACTGACGAAAGGCGCACTTAAGATCTCCATGTGTGACGAGATCAATTCTCCGCCTGGCAGCTTAATGATTGCCGTAAATGCAGAGCTGCGAGTTTTCTCATCACCATTGAGTGTCCAATAAAGGAAATTGCTGATAATGACGAGGTAGCAGTCATACACAAGTCATACACCGCGCCCGAAATTCTAGGCGTCCGAACAATACATAAATGAGATGAACAATAAGCGCTTGACAATTATTGTAGATCGAGCTTAGACGAGCTACGATTTGAGCAGGAGTGCGGCCAGTCAACATCACAGCTGGAGACTGATTTTCTGCATTGCTATGCGCATGAATAATCGTTATTGCAAGATGAAAGAACGTCAAATTATTGGAGACAAAACAATGCTAAAACAGGTACCATCGCAAACCCGTAAGCACAAGTTGAAATTGAACACATGAACCTGTGCCCAAGATAGACTATTTGCAAGACCCTGCCATATTATCGCAGAACTGCGATAACAAAGTCTCGTGGCACCTGCCTGGCAACCTCATAATCAAAAGTACAGAACATACACCTATAAAAAGCAACAAGATAAGCATGAGAATTCACAGGAAAAAAATTCATTGCAAAGAACTAAAAGCAATAATTTTAAGATTTCCCGCACAAAATAAAGTAGCATGCAATTCATGATATATGCCAATAAAAAAACCTACCATAACATAGTGTCGTTGCATCTCCGTCTTCTCGCTCGCCAGCTTATCGCACTCGAGCTTCATTCTGAAAGATAGGAAATTCATACAATATATACATACCAATTGTCATGATCAACTCATCATGAGCATACATGGACATGAATTATATTACAATGATGGCAGTCATAGAAAACCGACACGATTTCCTCGCACATAAGATAACGTCAGCCAACACTCAGCAATGATGCAAGTAGCATAGCAGATACTGGAATTAGTAAATCTGGAAGTAGCTTCTGAGAAAATTTAATACTTGTGTCATGTTGCCTAGTCTTGCATCAAGTCAAAAAGCAAATAATGCGCGTAAGCAACATTCATGTACAGCGAATTCGCGAGACCAACCATAAAAACGAATCTCTGCGGAAATGACGATAGAAATTAAATTTTATTATGCATTTACTTTCTCTCTCCCTGTACCTTTAATTACCATCAACCATAAGAGCAATTCTACGAAGTTTTCCAGTCGAAACTGACCACCGGTACGCACCAATCACAGCTCATACAACGTTAACCATCAATCAAAGTCGCATTAAAAACCCGCGATGTGGTGAAAATGAACTGGCGAGTAGTGAGGGGCTAGTGTATACGCAAAAAAAAACGATAATGCAGGCGGTGAGAATGCGGTAATGCTTGTGGTAATCATGGTAGGTTCCCGGCGAACGTCAACTTTCGAATATTTCTTTTTCGATGTTAGGATTGTGAGTATATTAATAGCGCGAGTTGAGTGTGAGGTTGAAACTGAAAATATGTGAGGTTGAAACTCACTGAAAATAAAAAATCGAGTATAATCGAGGAGCTTTAGGAATTAGGTTGGTGTGTCAAGATGAAGGAAAAAACATCCTCCACAAAAATGAAACTTGATGAAGTGGGTTCCCATTACTGCCTTTGGCTACTAGCATACCTTGGTTAATTACTGCAAAGGTGTGATGGCAGACAAATTTCATCAAATCTTCCCAAATGCCAATGAAAAAGCAAAACCTAACTGGTAAACTCCCCTTTTATATCTAGCTCTTACATACGTAACATTTAACAATAACAGGGACACATTTTTTTCTTCGTCTCATTATTTTTTCAGGGACGTTCTAAGTCCCGTCTCGTTGTCTCGGTTCATTAAAAAAAAAAAAAATCCGAGATACAGAAGTTTAGTCATCACTAACGTCAAGCACAGCCGTCACTAAAGTCAAGTTAACAATAACATTAAGCCCAGTTATATAGCCCCCACTTACGATGACATGATCGCCCATCACTATCTTTGTCGCAACGCAAAGATTGCAATACTAAAAAGCATAACAAGTTCACTCGCAGATGTCGATTGGGCGAGAAATAACTGCAATCCGCGGCCCTCAATGACCGTATCCAGTGCGAGATATAATTGATATGAACACTCAAAGCATGAGTGCGTGGAGCTAATTACAAGAATTGTTCTGCGGCTGAGAAGTAAAATTGCCGTGGCAGGCAATGAACGCGGTGCCCATATTCAGCTGACATCAATAGCTTTCAGGACGGCTTATTATTGGAGCTCATTATCGATGAGGGTCGGAATTAATGAGCCTGCCGGATCACTGATAATTTTCATTCAGTCACAATAAAAACGGCGGGCGGATCAAGGCTTTTTTGTTTGCGCTACCTTTGATGGCAACGCGAAGACTCGGTGCTGATTCCTTATCAGTCTTTATCGTAACCCCGAGGAAGGATTAAATAGATAAGAACAGACGTGAAGCAAATGATTAATCGTGACGGAAATACAAAAAAAAAAATTACTTTCAAACACTTTGTTTCTGAATGTTCTCAGACTGATTTAAACAGTTTGTTAAACGAACGCAAAATGCAGGTATAGGAAACTAAATCGACTTGCGGTACGAAATTTAATTTTAATGGACTTCAAAGAACGCGGGACGTTTTCCTCGTTTCTGTCATTACTGCGCGAATGGAAAATGACAGATCTGAAGCGCGTTCAGTTGAGTGCACAACACTGAAAAAGCAATTAGGAATAATGAACGGTATCGCGTGGGTCTACTAATTCGGTAGCTTGTGGGGTATGTATTCTAGGGTTGCACGGTATTGGCAAAAGAAGAAAGCCTGAACCGCGCATTATAAAAGCAGGCATCCAAAGAAGCGACTGCAGAAGATTTTATCACGACGGCAGCGCATTGTTTAACACGTGAACGGCCAGGCTAACAACGTACAAAAAGAGAGATAATCGGATATGCTGCTGCACAAAAACATGCAGTGTGGTGACTGCACTCTCATCCGGGTAGTGCAGTCATCACACTCCACTTTTCGTCTGAGTGGTCCAGTCTTCAAACAAACTTACTTCAGTGAATTACTTCAGGATTTCATACTTTGCACTTTTGCACTGAATTGAATAGAGTACTCATTTATGATGCCTTTGTTATTCTATGCTATGTTGCCTCCAACCGTGACATTCGACCCTAATGAACTAGCGTGCACATAAAGGTCTAGGTCAGCGGCAAGCGAATGATTTCTCCTGCTGATAAAGAATTGCAGTCAATTGTTCGCGTGCAAATTTCAAACAGACCGGTCACTTTCTTCCTGGAGTCTATTTCGGATAAAAAATTAACGCCTAAATAATTCTTTTTACCGAAGATATATTTTGGCATCACTGGCCATGGAATATAAGAGATACTGAGCTCGATACAGAGATACAACTCGCGAGGAATAACAAAGAATAAACTCTACAAGGAAACGCTTGAAGATTTGCTTATCCAGCATTTTGTCTCACTGAGTCATTCTAATAATAGCCTTGTGTACGCCTCACAATCTGCACAAGTACCGAACGCTTGATCCAGAATAGCCGCAAAACGCAAGTCAAAACATTCTCACACCACATCAACTTGATGAGTCACCTCAATTCTCACTATAAGAGCATAATTGTCTCGTAAATCCCACGCTGTTTGCACTCGCGGAAAAACACGTGGGTTGCAGTTGCCGCTCATCCTATTAGCGTCACACGAGAAGCGCGAATCTCACCGCCTGCGAAGGCGTTTATCAAGTCAGTCATGCGTCAGAGCCACGCGAGGAAGGATGCGCTTCTCCGCTCCACTGACCTGAGACCACAAACATCGCCGCGCCGCAACTTCTTCAAGCCGTCCGTGTGGTCGTGCAACTAACGTTGGCCAAAAAATAGTTCCTAAAACAAGCATGACGTGAAGGTTGGTTGGGAGTATAGGTATTACCTGAAACGTTGTGGCACCGACATGATTCACGGCGGTCGTGCAGCTAAAATTGGCATGAACAACGTTGTTTACCGCGCAACATGGGCGTGACAGTGATACGGAAGTCGGTTAAAAATGTACTCACACGTCAATATTTAGCAACGACTACTAAAAAAAAACAATTAAATGAGATTAATGGGAGAAATTCTGTTTATATAAACAAATTAAGATGACCCAAAGCTCAATTCATTAACAAATTACCATCACTGTAACCGAGTAGGGCAAATTCCATCTTACAAAGGGGCGAGTTGATGCGTATTCGTTATCTCGCATCGCAGGAAATGACTGCAATGCTGCGCATAAGCTTGATGAGCAGACAGCCGTGCGAACTGTTGAACGAGAACAATGAAAAGAACGCGCACTTAAACCAGAGCAGCGACCCGTGCTATATACGAATTCAAATAAATAATAAGCAGCAGGGAACTGTCTTGATACAACTCTGCGGGGTGCAAACATTGCCTGACGAGTCATTATCGTAAAGAGAGAACCCACAAATGAAAATATGTCATCAACTAAAACTGAGTTTATTTGAGAACATATAACAATAATAAATGAACTATTAAAGAGCCAACTAAAGATGGTAACTAAAATTACCCGCGAAAACCTTCGAAAAATTCCCAAGTAGCAAAACAGCAAAACCGTAAACATAGTAAACTCTATAGTTAAGCATTAGTCGTAGGTATATACCAAAAGTGACAATAATAGGACTCGGGAGGTTTCGTTAACAATACCCGAGCCAGTCATTTATATAAAAGGAATAATAGAGGTGAGTGGACATCACCACACCTTTGCATTATTACCGTAGCACAATTATGATAGACGATAAATTAGTTCAACCAAGTCACGGCAACGATAACTATCAGCTGAGTGATCAGAGGTGAAATCTATGTAGATAGTTGCGAGACCAAGAGACTGGACAAGGACATCATCACAAGAGTTCCAAGCAACAAGGATCCCTCACAAGAGTTTCAAGCAACAAGGATCCCTCACNCACTAGGGACCCAAGCAACAAGGATCCCTCATAAGGGACCCAAGCAACAAGGATCCCTCATAAGAGACCCAAGCAACAAGGCTCCCTCACACTCGTGCCCCAGCTACTCACGCATGGTACTGCGTCTGCAGGAAGGTGAACTCCTCCTTGATGCGGTCGCAGGTCTCTGCGACGTTGTTCTTCAGCGGCCCGGGGCCATTGGGAGGCGGGCCACCCTGAGTAAACAACAAATCAATATATTTCATCTCTGAATAGCAAAATGATTGTACAGTTTAATGCAGCAAAATAACTTAAAAATATTCATGTGATGTATCACTCAAGAAAATTCAGAGAAGACATCCTGAAAAAATTTCCAATCATTGGTGAATGTGGAAACCACTATACAGGTTACAGTATGCAAAACATCATTTAAATTAAATACATTCAACAAACAACTTCAAGTATTTTTTTGATAATTGCAGCAAATCAACTTGAAATCTTAAAATATCTCAAAATGATATTGCATACTGAGCATGACACATTGATAGCAGGCAAGCAAAGCCTAGCATTCTTTTACATTTTCAACTTAGATTTCTGTACATTTTTGTTGCAGAATTCTTCACCCAATGTGGGTAAAACTAACAATCAGTAACCGCCAATTAACAATTCACATAGAGGACAGATTAAACTTCTTTAACACTAAATATTAATACAAGCCAAAAATATTGAGCTTAAACCTGACACTGAATAGCCCATAAAATTACTCTTTTACCTATATCAATTAGATATAGACATTCAAAATCAATAGCTCCCATTAATATTATGTACAATTTAATTTATAGATTTCATCAAAATGCCGCCATAGATTTAGCTTAATTATTCCAGCACAAATTGACGTTTGTTGCATTCCAGAACATCATATCAACATTTCATCATTTTACTTCCATAGGACATTAATACAGCCTGCTGCTAGAAAGTACATTTGTGCTTTCTTTTCCAAGTACCCTTTTTTTTCATGGCAACAGTTCAAGCACTAGATTGTGCAGATACCTCCAAAGCTCATTTGCTAAAAAAAATCTACTGTCTGTTTCATGTAATCCTTTTTAAAAATTGCTCATAATCCCAGACATTGTGGAGCTATGAGCCAAACGCTGCCTTCCTTAAAAATACAATACCAAGTAAAAACGTACAAGTTCATATATATATATATATATATATATATCCCGAGAAACATATGTTGTGGGGAAAAATTTGGCAAGTGGGAATGAATGAGGTTTTGACAAAATTAATTAAGATACCTACATTTTCTTTTTGAAGTTAAAAAATTGACTAAAAGTGCCTTATTAAATTTCACACAAGGAAAAAGTTTGAAAGGAATTCCCAACTATATTCCTATTTGTGTTATTGACTGTTCAGGAAAGTTCTAATCCTTTATTTGTACCTAAAGTCCCCATACCTTGTAGTGAATTGTTTGCAGCACTTTTGCACAAATTCAACATATTTTCGAACAAAAAGTAAAAGCAATGTAGTGCTGCAACTTTATTCATTATAACACATCTTCAGTTATCCAGACCACTTGTTTCTAAAATCATTCACTGGCCTTGATGGGCCACAGCAGTGACTAGAAGAGCTTGCCAACTGACTAGCAAGGATAAGCCATTAAATAGTGCAATGAGGGATCATTAAATTTGTTAAACACTAAACTTCATGTGGTGCAGGACACACTTCATGTGGTGCAGGACACAGAGGCAATAAAACAACCCAGATGAGCTTTTGTCTCATTACAGGGCAATAGATTAACAACCATCATCCTCAATGGGGCCATAAATGTGATTCACTCTATAGTACCTAAGGAAGTTGGCATCACAATATGGCCCAGTTTATATGTTGCCTGGGCTGAAATAGAACAATCATATCTAAAAAAAAAACACTAGGTTTACAATGTGTCCTAATGTCTAGAATAAATTTGGTTGAATTGGGATGATACAGCATAACCTGTGCTTGGAAATTTACAGGGATCAACTATCTTCCACAGTAATTCTATAGCAATCAAGTCCACTGTGGGTACATACATTTTAAAAATGTTTTATCAGTACCATTGTGTACATATAAATCAATATAAGCTATGAAATGCTGTTTCTGGCCCAGGAGCAGGAATTCTAAAGTTCTAATTCAAATCACTTGCACCCCCTTATTCAGGATTGATAAGCTGTTTTAACGCAAATGAGATTCATATATCTATTATTTCAAGATGTTATCTGTACCTGCTCATGCCTTCACCATGTATTTCCACACACGTTTTGCCAGTAAGCAGAGTTTGGTCATGGCAGTGCAAAAATCAGGTTTCTTGGCAAAAATGGAGGAGTTGTGGGCAGAACCACTATAGCTTTCAAGATTTTTTTGACATAAATACTTATAAAGGGTTGTTTAAATACAAATGCACCATCAAGATCTCTTAAAGATCAACATTTTGATGCTGGTCTACCACCCAAGATATTGGATAAAATGGAAAATCAGGCAGAACTCACAGAAGCTACCATTGAATGAGTTAAAATGCACATGGCTAGAGCACAATTTAACCTATGGAATTCTCACAGGGTTCCATAGTCAAATATAGGAAAATTTGGCTCAAGATTCCAAATTGGCATCTCTGCCCATTTGCTCACTTCAATCACAGTAAGTTGCTTACATTTTACTTTCTAAAATCTCACAAAACAATTCATTTTGCAAGAAATATCACTGCTTTGCTTTGAAATGGCAGGAAAGCTCTACCACCTGAGACACAAGAGCCCTTATGTTGCCAGCCTTCATTAGAAATGATCTTTAAATAGAAACTGTACCACAACTTTCAAGCGCAGTCATAGCAGCTTTATAATTATTTAGTAATTGCACATCATGAATCCAAGTTCTGACCAGTTTCAAAGTTTTAGTAACAAGTGGCAAGTGAGATGCAGTATAGACCTGCTGAGTAGCAAATCATGCATCGTTGATGGTAGTCATGGCAATGAGAGCGGACATTTCCTCACCTGCTAGAGACCAAGCTGCATTGATCACAATAAATATATCATTATTAGGATTGTACCCTGCTTGCATCACATGTTAACAATAAATGCTTTCCAGGCTATGACAAGGGGGATTTTGATCATTTTAAGCCAGGAGATCCCTAAATGGTCAACTAAATCAGAAAATCCTACCTATTCTTATATGTAAATTTTTGTGAAGTTGGTTGTTTGGTTGGTGTGTGTGTTAGAAGCCTGGCACTGCAAATATATCAGGGCTGTTTGAGGACATATCCATGATATATATGTATATATTAGTATTAGATGACCACATTTTCTTGTTTATATGCATACATCCTATGACCAGAGAATGCAAAAAGAATTCATTATCCAACAATTCTCTTAACTTAGGTATGAATGTTGATACATTCAAAATGTCATCAATATATTATTATTACTTGCTTAATCTGCCTTCTGATCTACTAACATCATGTAAAGAATTGTTCAATTCCTCAAAAATTGCAATGCATTTTCTGGTCATAAATTGTATGCATATATATATAATCTTTGACTCTAAAGAAACACATTTTTCAGTTATATCTGCACATCCTTTGAAGAATTGCACATAACACAGTGAAATTTGTACCAAACCTCATGAATACTACTAGTGCATATACTCAAAAATTGCTCAGCTTGTAATGTAGTATATACCTTTAGGGTTAGATCTTCTTTACTTTTCATCCAAGAAATTAGAAATTGCAATTAAAATAGCTAAAAACCTAAAATTATTTGTAAAAATGGTCACAAATCTCAGTAATGACCAGCTTCAGCCCAATTTTTCAGTTTGGGGCCAGCCGGCCAGGCCATAGGATGTAAAAGTCATTTAAATTGTCATTTTGGTGCTGTAGGGTTGTAGTTTTCCTACTTATGAATGAAATGTTACAGCTCTAAAGGGACACACTTTCTATACATTTGGAATCTTGCACACAAATTTTGCACTTTTGTTAAGAACTAGATAAGAGCCTGAGCCCTGAGGTAGGTAATTCCTCTAGCGGAAATTTTACAGCTCAAAAAATGGCGGCAAATCTCCAAATGCAGCTCAAAAGGTAGAAAAATTGCAGCACCTGCGCTGCTCTGAGCATCTGAATGCAGCAAGATTTCAGAATTGATTTCTTGCAGCAAGAAGAAGTAGAAAAAACGTAACATTGGTCAGCTTGGCTGAGGACTTTGGAACTTCCAAATTTTAGGGACAGTATGATTTTTCCAAACTTGGCTAAGTTGGCTTACAACACTCACAAGGTTTACCATTTTATTTAAAGATGCAGAATAATCATAACAAAAAACTATTAGAAAAAACATTGGAGCCAGTGTAAAAAATATCCTAAACTAGAAAAATTTCAGCAGGATTCTAAGTCTATTGCGGGCTAGTAAAGTAAAGTAAAGAGTGAGTAAATAATATGCATTATACAACCATATAATTCATCAGTTTTTCAGTCTTCATGTCATTCAGAGTCTCAGTGACAGTTGTTAAATGTCAGCTCAGGTGTGCGTGTTCAGTGGGCGACGATCATTTAAAAAATATATATATATATAATTTTATTGCAAGTTTGATATAATTTTCGTCTAATAACTCTAAACTTTAATAACTGTAAATCTGTAAAGACTGTAATTATACATGAAATGATGCACTTGGAAAAAGTAAATGATTAGTAAAAACTTACCGACACTGGAGGTCGCGGAGCAGGATACATTTTGCTTCAGTAATGTTTACCAATACTCCAGCTTCACACGTTTACGTTATCACACGGCTTCGGCTTCACAAGCACTCATCAAGCAAGCACCGGCCACTTGGGCTTGTTTACATTCACAAAGACACGGATATAACGCAATAAGTACCAATAATTCATAAGATGATGCATCCAAATCAACTACAACACTCTAATTTGCATTGAATTTATTTCATTTTATCACAAATAACTTCAGTATCACAGATAAATTAAACATTATGGAGCCGCATATCCACTCACTGGCTTCAAACAGAGTAATGGCGGGGCCGGGGCTGGCTGGTTGGCTCTGAAATGCGCAAAGCCGAAATTTAGCTGTTGTAGAAGTAACAATGCAGAAAACATAAATATTGCAGTCTCAAATAATGAAATGAAGAGATTATTTATTATTATCATTTGAGTTTCTGTATAAATTCGATTCATGAAACTTGTCATAGTTTTTTCAGTATATATGTTTATATGAGTATCTCATACATTATTAGAAATATACGATTTTAGAAATTAATTTTCAATAGAAGTCGAAACATTCCTCATTATATAGTAATAAAGTGTATTGATGTAAATATTTATTCACATTTATATTATATATGAAATTTTAATCCCAGCATACCCACCGGATCGACACTTCAGCGAACTCAAGCGCGAACTCAAGCGCGATCTCAAGAGGCAAACCTAACTTCACCTTCAACTTACCCAGTCATAAATCCATAAATACCGAACGGATTTCTTTCAAATTTGAAATATAAGTAGATAATATTAGTAATTTGCGGACAGATTTATTTCAGATTTTTACATCAAATACTTTTGTATTAATACGGAAAACATGACTTCATTTTCAACTTACCCAGTCATAAATTCATAAATACCGAACGGATTTCTTTCAAATTTGAAAGATAAGTTGATAATATTAGTAATTTGTGGACAGATTTATTTCAGAATTTTACATCAACTACTTTTTTATTAACACGGAAAACA